AAATGAATTGTGTTTTTTAGTGAAAAGACAAATTGATAACTTAAAATTTTCATTTTGTATTGAAACCACCAATTGGATTGGTGGTCTCACTATAAAATAAAAATTATTGTTTATTTATATAACTACTTTTTGCTGACTGCTTGTCAGTACGGGTTACTTTTTCTATTGCACTGAAACCATCAACTCAATTGATGGTTTTAATGCAACACTATCTATCCATATCAGGATAAATATTAGATTAATAAATAGTTTTGAAATAGCATTATTTTTTTCAAAACCCCTCACATCTGCACATGACGAATCCTGAGAAAAAAACATGGGAGGGAGAAAATTGAAGTATTTCCATGAACGGGTGGGGTCAAAATACCTATCATATATGCTGCTTGGAAGGAATCACATATCGATATATTGGAAGCAGGTGAAAAAAGTATTGCTAAGAATTTTGTTGTGGACTTGAAATGTTGAATATGGAAGCAATAATGAACTAGACTACTACAGATATATACAAGATTGTCCAGATATAGATCTCTCATCAACAAGACTAGACTATTTCAACCCTTCTAGATCTCATAGACAAGGAAAATTTTTGAAAATCAAATAAAAGAAAAGCTATTTAAGGTGAATTTAAAGTGAGTTGTTTGAACAATTCAATAAATTAGCTGTTTTCGATTAAAAAACATAACGTAAAGTTTTTCTGATCACTAAATTTACTAAATGCTTTTCATTGTGATCAAGAATTCAAATATCAAAATATTAATTCTTTATAATGTTTAACTTTTAACTCTTTATAAAAAAACTAGTCAAATTATTGACTGCTATTAAAACAGTCAATATCTTAATACCTAACAGCTAATTTTGCTGGAAGAGGCGGCAACACCATGTGTTGCTTTTTAAATTTGGCATGTATGAAGAAATGGAGTTTGTGAAAGTGTGTTCCCTTCCAAGGAAAGACTTTTCTCGAGTGGGCTGCCTAACTGCACTTAGGATAGAGACATGACTAAAGGATGGATACCACCAACACCTTCTTTAATGTAGAGAGAGTACGTACAATTAATTAATTCCAACATTGTGGTTATATTAGACCAGCTAGCTAGCCCACAAGGCAAAAGTAAAGACTAAAGAATTGTGAAGGGAATTAGATATAATCAAAAGCATGTTATTTGTTTGGGAAGCCAAAGGCAATTAAAGGTCTAAAATTGCAGCCAAAGTCTAAAGCAGGACTTGAAGGTTTTGAGAGTCTATTGATTCATTCTTCAAAGAACCCACTTGCGTCATATTGCAATTTATTTTCATCATTGCTTACGTTCACAATTACAAAATTAATATAAAATAAATTTAAAATGGTAAAAAGAATTCCACCAAATGAATTGAAAAGGGTTACCCATTTTAATATATGACTTGAAATTTATGGGTTTAAACTGTGTAAAATAATCTCTCTATATATATGTATATGTGTGTGGATTGCATTACAATGAACGAGGATTAATACCCTCATCTATTATGTTTCTAAATCTTGCATGAATGTGTTAAATTATTATGTCATGTGATATTAAAATTTATTTAAAAATTCATTGGTATGAATATATTTTTTTAAATAGAAATATACATCATTTCATTAAGTTGAATTATAAAATGAAACCAAACAAGGAGGGATTGTATCCCACACCTTGGAGACAAGTATAAGAATATGACGCTCTAACATGATTTAACGAGTACATTTCCCTCTAAAGATAAGTCCGTTTTCAATCTATTTATCCCTCAGATTAGATTAATCAATTTAAATTCCATGATCCAGAATTATATATGATGAGGTAAAGAGCAGCACCCTGTAACATATGCCCAACATAAACATTGATTTGTCCAATTCCCATATAGCATATGAATATATGCTTTCTTGGAGGAAGTGAATAGTAAAGAAGGAAAAAGGTTTAGAACTTTTTAGGGTTTGGATCATATGGCAGAGAGAGAGAGAGAGAGAGCACTCAACTTTTTCTCTTCAAAAACGTATATAGAGATACAGAGTAGCTAGTTTCAGTCTCTCTGGAGACAACTGAAAGAAGTGAGAGGTAGAGACGATAGAAACAATCATCATTGCTAAAAACCAGATTATTCTCTGGCATGGGCCACCATCATTCCAAAACAGAAAGTGTCACATGCCTCTCAAATATGTCCTTATCTTCCAATTTCTTCATTTCTTGAAAAATATCTTTGTTTTAATTACTAGAGAAGGGTTTATTTTTAAACTTGAATCCATATTCCAATATCCTATTATGGATGGAAACTATAAAGTAAATGAAAAATGAAAGGAAGGGGACTGAACCTGGATCGTTAGGTCGCTAGTAAAACCGTAATTCCACTAAGAGGATCTTTATTCGCTCTTTATATAATTTGCATTTGCATTAAGTTTTACAAATTTTTTTTTTTTTTTAAAATTTCCATTTGAACCGATGGAAACCACTGATGATTTCTATAATTCTGAATGCTTAATCATGATTTTGATTCCCCTAAAATGATTCAGAAAAAGATTATATATATTTATAAATATATATATTCTTGTCTATAATTATATGATCATGTATACAACTTTATCATTTCAACTGTATATTCCCAATCCATGATCTCTTATCTGGGCTCCAAGATATACCATGTGAAGGAAATCTAGGACTACCAATCAAAATAATGCATGTAATAATAATAATGATCATTGACCTTTTTGTAAATATCACCTCATTATTTTGTCATCAATTGATTGCTTAATTTAATTCTATTATTATCAATTTGATCACGGGCATTATTAGATTAATTATTATTTAAACTTCAACAAATTAATATGATTAGCACTAGATTAAGTGGTAGCGTGTACTCCTTTTATACCCTAGGATATTTGGCTTCGAATTCTATAAAATATTTTCATTAAAAAAAAACAGTTAAAAAAACAAATGATTAATTTATATAATTCACTTTATTTTGTATTTTATACTGTCAGGGATATTATTAAATCAGTTTTTAATTTTGATTTGAATTTGTAATTTGTTAAATATTAAGCACTAAAATAATATGTTAAATAAATAAAGGATTAGCATTTTTATTTGTCTTTATACATGCGTTACCTTTGGATATAACATTAATTTCGTTTTAAAATTTAAGGGTATTTTTTTATAAATATTTTTTTTCATGAATGAAATCGTTATTGTTGAAAAATTATATACTAGAACTCAAAGATTTTTACTATAAATATAAAAATTTAAATAATATAAATCTATATTCACCAAATTAACACGAGACACACGTAACGATTGTTTATTTTTGCATCTAATTAATTTAACTAAATCATCACTAGCCTGTGTGGATCACGAGTTCATCATATTTTAACGACTCCATTAAATAATAGTTGTAGTGCACATTAATTTTTTATTTCTTTCTTTCTTTGGCTTTTTTCTCTTGGGATTGTGTACTTATATAAATTATTTATTTTCAACTTTGGAATATTAAATTGCAGAGCAACAATGGAGTGTGCCATGGAACGTAATTTAAGTGGGTCATCGAAATTGGAAAACGAAGGTCTTGTCGTTCTACAATAATACGACGGTCTCAAGCTGGGTGAACAGAAAATTAGAGCTTATGCACATGTTTTGGATGGGTTTGTTTATATATATAATAATAATAAAAAATCTCCAGACTGAATTGCAAATATACACATTGCTTTCTTAGTGGGCATCTATTAATAGAAGAGGGAAAATTAAATTAGAATTAAAGAATCACAATCAAAGATAAGGTAACAATAGTGGGGACGTTTTTTAACTTGTAGTTTATGATTGCGGCAGGTAAGGATTCCCTTAATCTTTGCCACCAATCACTCTTATTATTATTATTATTATTATTATTATCAACATCTCCCTATTGCTACAAAACTAAAATTGATTAAAGAATATCACCATCCACAGCATAATACGAAATAAAAACAAACACATATATATAATACGCTTTCATTTTATTTAAATACATCTATTGTTTGATTCATGTAGCTGACTGTTAATTCATAATTTTTTTTTTTTTTGGTAAAGATTTTAATTAGCAGCTGATAGTTGATATAAGTTTTTTATGACAGCTAATTCTATCGGTTATCTTTTAGACATTTTTTTATCACGGTGGTAGTTAATTTCTATTTATATTATATTTACACTTTACTAGCTTTATAAAATAATTATAAAAAAATTAATATTTTTTTTTGATTTTGTTTATATTTTATATTATACATTATTTTAAATAATTTTAATCATTATTTCTATCTATATGAAATTAAAATAAAAAAAAACATATTCACTTCAAATGTTAAAAAAAAAAAAAAGCATCATACATGAATGACAATAACATATAAAAGCAAGTATTTTAATAGTCGTTTTACATTTTGACATCAACTACTATAATTTTATTAAATATCAAATTCATTAATTAACAGCTATTAGCCACAAACTAATAACAATAAGCTATTACGATTAACAACTAAACCAAATGAACTCTTACGGTGCGTAGAATAATATATTACTATTTAATAGGGTTATTAGTTAGAAAACAAGGTGTTTGATGTAAATCTTTTGTATTTTTTTCTTCCTTAATATTCCAAAGAAAAAAAAGAAGAATTAGTAATGAAGAAGGTCTAAAAAGATAAGCCATAAATATAAATAGAGTTTTTGGTCAATATATTAGAAATGTTCAAGAAAAACAAAGAAATGGACCACTCTATTAATCAGCAGCAAAATCTTTCAAAGCAGACAGCATATTTAATAACACAGCACCGACCTCTCTTTCTTTTTTCTTCTCTGCCGGCTAAGGTACGAGAAAGAAACCTTAGCCATATATAGTAATTGAGGTTATATTGAATATATAATAGTACAATAACCACACCATTAAAATCCAACAAGAGTTACTTGAACTAGACAAAAGTAACAGTTGCAAACCAGAAATTAAACTAATGTTAAACTGATGAATATGGAGTATGATGATGAAGTAATGATGTGGAATGCTAATTATAAAGAAAGAAAAGGGCATAAGTATCTACACATAATTAATTTACTCCTAAAATTCTTGTTTATTTATTAAAAAGAAAAAGAAAAGAAAAGAAAGGAAAAGAAATGATACTGTAATAATTTATCTAAACCCAAAAGAGAGTTTGAGACTGATATGAAAAACATAATCTTGGCCTCATCATCATAATCACCAGCAAGACGGCACCGTTTTGGATTTATGATAGTGGAGAATTTAAGTAACTTGTTGCAGAAAAACCCTCCTGATTCCAGAATAAGAGTTCTATGATCCAACTATATAAACCCATTTTAGACCTCACTTATAATAATTTATTCTCTGCTATTCTGAAGGACAAATCCAAGAATCAACCGCACCTTCCCCTCTTGAAGGAACATTCTCTAAACCTTTTTCATGATTATGAAAATCTGAAGAAGGAGCTGTATAGTTCAATTTACAGCTATCAAAAGACCTCAAGTGATCTTGATAATTATTCCTCATTGCTCTCATGCCTTCTGTTGTTCCTTGACTTGTTATCCCAATATGGCCGTCAATACCCAAATCATCAAGCGAGGATAAACTCGATTTTGCACCCAAACCAGAAACATTAACTGAAGATTGAAGGATATTAGGAGGAGGCTGTAGAAAAGATTGAAATGAAAGCATTTGGTTTTGCATGATTAGCATGTTTTGAGGTTGTTGTTGATAGTTACTAACGTTTGCGGTAGGAATTGATAAGGTTACAGTATTATTATTATTACTATTGCTGGTAGTAGTAGTTGTTGTAGCTTCAACATTAATAGTAGATGGAGAAGAAGATGAAGAAGAGAATAGAAACGGAGCTTGTTGATGAGCTTTTTGAGGGGAAGGACGTAAAGGGTAAAGTGAGCCCATGGGTTCTAATTGAGTAGATCTTAAACCTGATCCAACTGAGCCAAAAAGATCGAGCCTTCTAGAATATGGTGAGCCAGAAAATGGCGGAGCCGGAATTCCAGTGAATTCTTGTACCATTGCTCGGAAATTTGACGTGTCCGTTGTAAGAACTGTAGTTGGTGCTCTTCTCGAAGCTCTTGTTCTTTTCTTGGGATTTCTAGTAGTTACTACAGCGGTTTGATCGGAAGGAGAAGAAGAACGGATCCCATTCTCTTGTACTGAACGCAATTGCATTGATGAAGAACTACCCAAGATTGATTGGCTCGATGATGCTGCCGTGGCGGAGGAAGAATTTGAGGATGGTGGAAGGTGGTTATTGGTTATTCCAAGTTCGGTGCACTCGGGTAGGTTAGATCTTACGGCGCTGCGAGAGCGAACCAAATCAAGGTTTAGCAAAGAGTTGGGATTTATTGGGTTTGTAGACTGAGAGAAAGAATGGAAAAGATTTGGTGAAGGATCAAAAAAAGTGGGTTGATGGTGATGAGGCAGAAGATGAGAAGGGTGGGCTTGTGGATTTGTTGAAGATAAAGAACCAAAGTGGGTTGAAGGATTTAAGAAAGGAGGTCTTGAAGCTGAATCATATTCTTCATCACCACTTGAGGATTGCATACTACCACTATTACCAGAATCCATAACTATATATATATATTTAAAAACAAAATTAAAAGGAAAAATTAACAAAAACTATTGTTTTTATGAAAAAGGAGATGGCGATAGTTGCCAAGTTGCATAAACAAGCAAAAAAGATTAATAATTTTGAAAGAAAGAGACAAATAGCAATTATATTATATATATGTATATGGGTATATAATTATAAACTTATATGCTGCAAAAGAACCTATCAACTAAATGAAGAATTAGGCATATAAATCTTCTGAAAGAGCTTAGAGAAAGAGAGAAAATCAGAAAGAGAAAGTTCCCATATCTTTTAAAGCCTGATCTGAAATGGAGGCAATCTCTTCCTTTGTCTTGCACTATTAACAAAAGTTTCTGTGAAAAGAAAAAGGGAAAATTGCCTATAGATCTTTGTTATAATGGCTAGAGGGAAAATAAAAAAGCACAAAACCAAACCAAACAAAAGGAGAGGTTCCAACAGTAGAGGCTAAGAAGAATACAAGATGAGCTAGCCCCTCCCTTTCTTCACTTCTTCTTCTTCTTCTTCTTCTTCTTGCTCTTTCAGGGCATGGCTTAGATTAGGGTTTTTGGAGAAGAAAAAGAGGAATGAAAGAAGAGGATATGTTATATTTAAGCTTTTTGCTCTAAAAAAAAAAAAAAAAGAAAGAGAAGAGTAGAGAAGACTCAATAACAAATATTTCCACTAAGAAGATCCTCTCCAGAGAGTGCAGAGTGGGGTCTCCATTGAAGTAGAGAGTTGCCGGTGGTGGCTGGCAACGGGTCAAACTCAAAGTGAGTGTGTGTATGTGAGAGAGAAAGGTTGGGTTGGCTAATAGGGTTATGAATGTGAAAGCAAGAAAATGATGTGAAATTAAAGATTAAAAGCTAAATAAATACAAAAATTCAAAAAGAAAAGGGTATAAAGTTAATTAACAAATACAAGAAATTAAACACTTTCATACATTCCCACCGCCAGAAAATCCACTATTATAAATTCTTTTCCCTTTTATATATTAGGTTCGCACTTCTTCATAATGTATTCATATAGAATAAATTAAAATTTAAATATGAAAAATATTCGTTTATCCAAAGTAATATATATAATTTTTTCTTACAAGTATTCCTATTCTTTTTGAATATGCTTGTCTTTTCTTATAAGTACTTTTTTTCATTAATTAGATTTTTTTTTTTCGTCCAATATTTCATGGATTCTCGTAGAAAACATAAATTTGTAGTGTAATAATTGAATTATTTGTTATTTTTCCACAAGTTTTTTAATTGATGGTTTTGTTTTTGTTTTCTGTAAAATGAAATTAATTTTTTAATAGTAGTAGTAGCTAAGGCGTGATCTGATGATGATATATCAGCAACTCTAGAACCAGATATCAACCTTTGACCAAGTCAAAGCTCAGAAACAAGGAAACAAAGTCCAAGTTATAATTGAGCAACATCAGAGAATCTTTTACCATCTTCCTCGTCTGAAATTATATGTTCAAAGAACTTAATAAATTTTTCCATTAATTTTAAAATATTCTTTTCTTATTTTTTAATTAATAAAACATGTAAAATAAAAAAATTTTTCATATAATAAAATTATTCTTTGGTTCATGTTTCAAGTTTGATTCTTGATGTACATTTATATATCAAATAAAAGTGAGTCTGAAAATAACTCAAGATGGATTCAGTTTCACCCTATGTGAAAGCATCTACGTATAATGTTTGATACCCTGCTAGTAGCTACTGCATTTATCTGCTTTTTGTCATTGCCATGGATGCTTAATTCTATTCTTTTTCCCAAAAAAAAAAAAAAAAAAAAAAAAAAAAAAAAAAAAAAAAAAAAAAAAAAAAACCAGATTGCAACTTCGCTTGTTTCGCACCACGAAGTCAAAGCGCTTCAGAAATAAGGAAACACAAGTCCATAGAGTTAACTAAATTGAAGCAACATAGCAAGAAATCCTTTTAACCCATCCTTCGCTTCGTCTGAAATTATACATTGTTTCAAGAGGGAACATTAATAATTTTTCCATTAAATCTTTTATAAAATATTTCTTTATTCTTATTTTTTAAATTCATTAATAACGCTGATGGTAAACTATAATTAAAAAAAGATTTTTTCATATAATATAGAAAATTATTTACGTAGTCTGTGTTCTCTTGGTAACAATTCTGTGTTTCAGTTTTGATTTCTTAGATGGTAAAGACATTTATATGTTCAAAAATAACTAAGATGAGATCTGGAAAAATAAAGTCGTAAGATGAGATTCAGGTTTCACGCCTATGTGAAAAGCATCTAACGTATCATGGTTGAATCACCGCCTTGCTAGTAGCGCTACTCCGGCAATCGTTTAAATCGTCCTTTTTGTCATTGCACATGGATGCTTAACTTCTACAATTCTTTTTTTTCCAAAATAAAAAAAAAAAAACCAAAAAAAAAAAAATAAAAAAAGAAAAAAAAAAAAAAAAAAAAAAAAAAAAAAAAAAAAAAAGAAAGAAAAAAGAAAAGAACTTTATGGTTTTTGCATAATTTGGATGGAGAGGTCGGTTCACCCACAACCAAGTTCGCTGCAACCATCCAAATTGAAAAAAAAAAAGTTAAATGTACTTTTATTGGTCTACGCCATTTGCTTGTGTATATATAAAACTAATTGATAGTCAGATTGGAAAAATATTCAGATAAAATTCATTAACGGTGCTGATTTTAGATTTTAATTTTTAATATGGTCAATTTATATTTTAAATCTCTAATTTTATAAATACAGTCATTTAAAAATGCAGTTTATTGTCGTTAATGTAACTTATTAATTAATCATACTTTATTTATGACACTTTTATGTCCAAAAATTCTCATTCACACATGATTATATATATAGCTATGCTAATAATAATAAAGTGATCACTAAATATGCAATTATGAAGAAGCTAAAATGTCATTTTCAAATTACGTGTTATATTATTCTGCATTTCGAACGATGGGCATTCTGTAAGGGTGCCCTACATAAACCAAATCATACAGCCCTAAAGATCCAAATTGAATTCTCTTCATGTCTTTTATGCCTACACGAAACGTATATTAAAATTTGAGGTCTCAGTAGTCAGTTGTATCAATCTGCTGATAGCTACCTCTATAACATGTATATAAACAATATATATAGACACACACACAAACACACACATAGCTTGTTGGGAGACAAGGGTTTATAGTTGCTCGGTGGTTAAACTAATTGTGCCATTGCTGGAACATTTTTTTTTTTTTTTTTTGCTCGGTGGTCGTAAACTATTGTGCCATTTGCTGGAATCATTTCTTCGTTTTTTCTGGAACATTTTTTTTTTTTTTTTTCTCTTTACAATGGCCTTTATAATGTTTATTTTTCCAATAATCCACCAATGTATTTAGGATTATTAAGGATGATGGTGTTACTATATTATATTATTAAAATAAATAATAGTTCTCGTTTATGGAGTATAATTTTGAAATTTAATAACGGATAAGCATGAGTTTATAATAGCTAATCCATTTATTAATGGATTTAATTGGCTGTGTGTGTAATGTTGTTCATATATTGTAGAGCCTGTACATGACTGACTTTAGTCCAAAGCATTCACCAATTATGACATGAGTCCTAAAGCCAATTATTAAATTTCATCAAAATAATTATTTGGATTAATGATATGATACGTTATTAACTGAAAATTCAGATAATGCAACGATTCTCAACTTTAAGAACTGGTTATAATTTTTATGTTGTTGACCAAAGTTATTTTTTCTGGTCAGTTTTTGTTCATTCACAACCAGATTCAAGGCACTTATGCTATCTCTATTATGACTTTCAGTCAAATTAAGAAAATATGATTATTATGCTTAGACCATTATTTTTTTTTAAAAAAAAAAAAAACCCCATAATATAAACTCTTATATTAATATAATCTAACAAGGCAATCAAAGTCATGGAGCTTGCTGATATAGAAGGCAACAAAAACAACTCTATTTATTTTCAAATTTGCTTGGCCTACTAAGGAGTAAAGTACTCTCACTAAGTATTTACTTTACCTATAAAGATCAAATGCTCGACCTTACTTAAAATAAAAGAGTGTCGAACCATTTATTCTAACACTCGTTGGTCAAATTTGAATTTGATTAATAGTAATAGTAATATATTTGTTAATAAAGATGCACATTAAATTAGTACGCTTTTGAAGGAGTTTTACCTAATATCATACTGACATGAGGAGAGACGTGTATCCAAACAAATAGATAATATGCACATTAAATAGAATAGGACAGTAAATTGTAAAAATTATCCTTTTTTAAAAATAGAAACAGACTGTAATTTGAAACTAAGTTAAAAAAGAAAAAGTGTGCCTATTATTATAAGCAAGAGGGAGTATATATTAGCTTCATGAATCTCTAATTCTTCGTCAAACGTTTATTGTGTCTGTAAATTCATTCTTAAAACAGTACGATATTGTTTGAGTCACATATTGCCATTACATTAATTGACATCCTATTACAATTCCCCACTTTTTTTTTTTTTTTTTTTTGAATATTTTCTCATTTTTCACTTTTTTTTTTTTTTCAAATTTACGATAAATTAGAATTAAAACAAAGACATAACTCGTGGCTTGTAAGATATGGTGGTTGAACAAAAAGCAGCCTACACCTTTGCGTGGAAAATGAGAATAGCATCAGTTTCAGACGGAAAAATTCTTTATCAACTCAAATTTCCAGTTGGATTTAACACATGACTAATAGTTCAGAAGTGGCTTAATTAATATGTTCGACCTTTTATTTAAAGGAGCTAAGTTCTTTCCACTTAGACTAATTCCATTAATTAAATTGAAATTCTACTAATAGATTTGCAATTTTATCTGTAATTTTTTGGAGAATAAAATCTAGAAAGATTGAAAATTCCATTAGAACTTCCAACAGAAAGGGTCCCTACTATAAAATATGAAGGAGGGGAACTATAAAGATGTAGCAGATTGTAAGTGGACAGAAATTTCATGATTGTTTGTGCAGTTAATTGATTATAAATGGAAGTTGTGGATAAGAAAGAAACTATCACTATATGCAGCATTCCAAATGTGTTCCCACTTTATGAGATATGGACAATAGAGATGAATGCATTATTGCACTTCAATGGATGGATAAACTTTTACATCTTCTTCTTTATCCACTTTGTTTTTGGGAATTTGGTTGAGAGAGAAATCTTAGACAATTCAATAAAAATTTAATTTTTATGTTAAATCAGTTTATAAAGTGGATTAAATTCTTATTTTAATTAGAGATCTGATTTTATGGAACAAGTTATCCAAAAGATTTTTTTTTTTTTTCTGATTTTACTCAAAGATTTTTTTTTTTTTCTCTATATTGATTGTAGTAGCAAAGCTTATACGCGCTAAAACTGAATGCAAATATAAAAAAGGATAAATGGTTAAAGATTAGGTCAAAAGTCTTCAACATATTGTGTTTCTTTTTAGCCGTTTCAGTAAATATGCTTCCCGTGAATCAAATTTATATTCTAACGTTTATATATAGTGAGATTACTTATTATTCCGATTAACATATTATTAATATCGGTCATATTTACCTTCACACACCTTCAAGTTTAGACTAAGCATTTCCTAGCCTTTGCAGGAAGAAAAATTTTTTTTGAGATTTAGATGAATGAAAAGATTATTGATTTTGGAAGTATTTTGTTTTGAATTGTGTAAGTATTTTGTTGAGAGTTTGAAATATTTCATTTCTGATTTATTTAGTTTGGGCTTAGCTCTAAATGGCCTAACCAATAGGCAATAGCCCAAACTACATGTTCAAGCCTTAAGTTGGTGCTTGTTAGGCTTT